CTTTAACATTGTTTGGTTTTAGAATGTTGCGTTCAGTCACGATGATAGTGGCAAATTCCTCAAACTCTTTGCTGTAATCATCTTTATACATTGTTGCATTGTTAATAAACTCTTGAACATCATCTTGCTTTGTTATCATTTTGTAGTCCTTGGTGTCATACAAGTGGGGTAGAAGTACATAGTGTCTGGTCTTCCTCTGGGCAAATTAACATTCCCAACTTTACTGGAAGAGATGATATGCTCATTCCACAATTCACAAACTTCAAATAACTCTTTCCTTAAGATATCCTTGAAGCAAAACCTCATATAATCATTATGAGTAGGATCAGAGCTGTTAAAGAGTCCTCCTATGTCTGTCATATCTTTAAAAAAATTCATCCACCATCCAGGTCCATCTTTAACAAGTTGAGACCAATATGCTTCAATGCGTTGATTTGATGTTGATCTGCCAATGAGATATGAACGAAGGCCAGTGGTGTTCCATGTGCTGATCTCAGGAATGGGCGTATGGCTTCAACAACAGCATTCTCTGTTCCATCATCTGTTTGGGAGGGCATTCTTGTGCTGGCAAAGTCAAGAACCCCAAAGATCCAAGATGACGTATGAATAAGTATGAGCCTGCACTCAAACAGGTCAGCCCCCAAAATAAATTGAAAAGTGTTTGATTTTTTTTTTCAAGACATTTTTTTTCAAACAACATAATTTGTTTTTTAAAACAACTTAACTTTTTTTCTTTAAAACCTCTGTCAAAAAAAATTGTAAAACAATCGAATATTTTTAATGAGACAACAAAAATTTAAATGAAAACTGTTTAAAAAAATAATAAAAGTGTGAACCTTGTGGGCCATCGTACCTGACTAGCAACTTTTTTAACGTGATAAAAAATTGATGTATTTTGACGTGAAAAAGTGAGGCATTAAAAAGCACTATCTTGGCTGTAGGATGTCGGAAATGGCGTCTCCCGAGAACTTGATGAAACTTCGAAACTTCTCGAAACCAGTATCGATAATCGCCTTTGACCCTCGTATATGCGTTTGTTGGAACCCCTAAGCTATTCGTAATTCAGCATAGAAATCTAATCCTAATTCAGATATTCATTTCCCTTTCACCCATTTTAATTTTATATTACTCACCGCAATGTCTTGTTCAACCTTTATTTCTAGTTATTCACTTATTATTTGTTTCAATTTTGTCAAGATACTTTGTTTTCTCAAATTTTGGTAACTTTACATCTATAACATGAGTAACTCAAAAACCTAAATAAGGAACATTCGTTACGAGGGGACATTTCGTAAGATCTTTTTTTAATGAATTTTCTTAAGCCTCTCCTGTATACACTGTTGGCGACAACTGAAAAACAGGTGATCCCTCCAAAACCTTCCACCCCCACTTAGTCGATAAATCATCACTGGTCCCTCAAAAGGTGTCTTTATGTGCGCGTATTGGAGCGCAACGCGCAACTCCACAGTGAAACATTGAAATACTCCTGTTTTACAACGATACAGCCGCAGAAGAAGTTCGAAAGACAGTACACTGAGAAACAAATAACAGAAAAAACGTTTGAGCCCTGCCGCCCTGACAAAAGGAACGAATTGTTTAGAGGCCAAAAATCCAGTTTGCGAGGGTAGCTTACTGCTCCGGTGCGTAAACGCTTTCCATGAAAATTTAGTTTCTAATGGCGTCTTGAATTAATAAAACCTTCCAGGAGCTCTTCAATATTTAATAGGGAGGAGTTGGTGAAAATTCTTTCGAGGCCGCCGTAAAGAGTGCGAAACCACCTCTATTTTAAAAATGGTATGTTCAATACTAGCTCAGTCGACGAAATTTGACAGGCGTTTCCAAACTGAAGGACGAGTTTGTACCCTTCTCCAAAACTGTTCTAAGTGTTGATCAGATGGGTCACAAACCCGGCAAGTTTACTGATTTTAGAACGCTCATTTGAACAGTGCCAATGTTTATTTTCCAACCGGTCCATGGTAAAAGTTAAGGGAAAAACGCGAAATAGCCGGGTCAACTGTTATAGTAGCAGCTTGTAATTTGCTTTACGGGAGCAAATCTCAGTTCTAAACGCTTTCAACGAAGAGATTTTTTCGTAATTATTTGAAGTGACTCTCGCCTTCTATTGAAGGAGTCAGTCACAACAATGATATAGAATAAAGACAAAGGACAGCTACTCTAAATTAATATTCACCAATGAATCAGTTAGACGTGTCAAAGCAATCGTCGCACGGAATCATACTAAGGGCTTTTTTTCCCCGACACATCAGGCTTTGAGTCGGAAACAAAACGAGTACTAGCTTACTACAATCTCATCTTCTGCATTTCAAATCAAACTCTTGTCATTGATTTCCAACGCTTGTCTTAAAATGCGCACACGAGGTTATGTTTTCATTGTTTGTTAGAACACTCATCATTCTCAATGCACTAATGCTAGTGCCTGTGGTGCTTTTACAAAATACTTCCATCGTTTTCCCGGTAGATGACAGTATCAATTCACGTAAACATAAAATGAGCGAAAGTACTTACCTCGGGAACTCCACTGAAGACATTTTAGTGTTGCTAGAAGAATTATTTGCTATTGAAACTAACCTCTATGGAAAAGATCCAGCTCAATTTCTTGAAAAGTCCCGCTGTCAGATAACAATCGGCGCGTTTACGTAGTTTACGCTTCTCATGCTAAACAATTAGCCAATTAAACGCAGGCTTACTTCCCGCACTATGATGATTCCTTTTCTTTTCTTTTTTTTTTTGGTTAGCTTGAGTGGGCGACATGTGCGTTCGCCCAATTGCTACGCGCTTTATAACTTGTCTCAAAATTTCGAAGATTTTACGTGGGGCTTTTTGTAATTAAGATTTGTTTATTTCAGTTTCCTCTGCATAATCATTGGTTTAGGTCACGCAACAATAGCCCATATGCTCACTACCAGTCTTCGCAATGTTCGCAAGTGCGCAAAACTAAAATCACCACAATCACTACCAAAGTAATCCTCAATATGCACGTCAACAAAATATCAAGAGTTTCCCTTCATAACACTGCAATTGAATGACTGACTAGCCACAGCCTCAAATTTAATCGAAATTTTGGCCTTTCGAGTTCACGAGTTATAAAGTGAGCCACTGTGGGCTTGAGTATTACAAGTCAAATACACACATTCTTAAAACTTCAGACAATTCCAACCTCTTTAATGTAAATATGAGTTTCAATTCATTTCCACTCAATCTAAACTAATCTGTTTAATTAAAAACTGGGTCATTGGATAATGCAACTAGAGCTAATTTGTTATGTTGTTTGATAAAGATTCCTTACTTGTCCTAACTTTTAACTCATCGAAGTAAAGAGGTGCAACACTGAGCTATTTACGTATGATGGACGATCCTCGCAGTAGATAGCGCTATTTGAGCAATAGCGAAATTCAGACCTGAAAAAAATCAGGCCTGTACGGGACTCGAACCACTGACCTCTGCGATACTAGTGCAGCGCTCTAACCAATTGAGCTAACAAGCCAACTGAGAGCAGGCCGTTAAGTTGATTCGTAATGAACCCGTGAAAGTGATAAATGAGATAGAATAAATATATGAAAATCATATATTTTGAACTGCGGTATTTGATACGTATGATGGACGATCCTCGCAGTAGATAGCGCTATTTGAGCAATAGCGAAATTCAGACCTGAAAAAAATCAGGCCTGTACGGGACTCGAACCACTGACCTCTGCGATACTAGTGCAGCGCTCTAACCAATTGAGCTAACAAGCCAACTGAGAGCAGGCCGTTAAGTTGATTCGTAATGAACCCGTGAAAGTGATAAATGAGATAGAATAAATATATGAAAATCATATATTTTGAACTGCGGTATTTGATACGTATGATGGACGATCCTCGCAGTAGATAGCGCTATTTGAGCAATAGCGAAATTCAGACCTGAAAAAAATCAGGCCTGTACGGGACTCGAACCACTGACCTCTGCGATACTAGTGCAGCGCTCTAACCAATTGAGCTAACAAGCCAACTGAGAGCAGGCCGTTAAGTTGATTCGTAATGAACCCGTGAAAGTGATAAATGAGATAGAATAAATATATGAAAATCATATATTTTGAACTGCGGTATTTGATACGTATGATGGACGATCCTCGCAGTAGATAGCGCTATTTGAGCAATAGCGAAATTCAGACCTGAAAAAAATCAGGCCTGTACGGGACTCGAACCACTGACCTCTGCGATACTAGTGCAGCGCTCTAACCAATTGAGCTAACAAGCCAACTGAGAGCAGGCCGTTAAGTTGATTCGTAATGAACCCGTGAAAGTGATAAATGAGATAGAATAAATATATGAAAATCATATATTTTGAACTGCGGTATTTGATACGTATGATGGACGATCCTCGCAGTAGATAGCGCTATTTGAGCAATGCCTACCCTTACCAACTTCATCTGCAGTTGGTAGTTGGTAATATTACCCCTCACTGGGTCCTGCTCACGAGTATGTGTTTTCCTTATACAGCGTGGTAGCGCCCGTGGTCAATATGAAGCGAGTCCTGTATTTTGATTGGCTACTCGAGCGGGTAAAATTGGCCATCTTACCCGCTCGAGACTGCCCTCTTTGATCCCGCGCAAGAAAAGAAAGTGCGTGACTTTTATACAATGAAGTCGATGAAGTCGCAAAAAGTGGCAAAAGACAGTCCAAATAAAAAGTTGACTTTCTTTGATAAAGTCATTCTTGATTCTCATGAAAGGGAAATCTTTTTGCCATATAATAAATCGGTTATTGACCAAGCTTGTCAAGATGGCTGCATATTAGCCTCGTCCTTTATTTTGCGTTTTAATGGACCTTGACATCGCCTCGGTCCATAAAAACGCGAAAAAAGAACTCGGCCAATATCCAGCCATCTTCACCTAACGATTGGTCATTAACCCATATATATTGATACTACATGTTACGGCACGCAGTTTTACTTTTTTACAGGTAGCCGTGATACTTTGGGAATTTACCTAACACTCTACCTTCAGCAGTTTCCATCGTTCCACTGGCATCCTTGGACCTTTTGGACCTTTTGATTGTTGAACATGAAGGAAATGTTCCCTTCCGCTTCGCAGATGACTCTTGGCTTTCATTGGTAGAACCTTAAATAAAGAAAATGGCCAAATGATTGTTTATATGCAGTCAAATACGTATCAAATACCGCAGTTCAATATATGATTTTCATATATTTATTCTATCTCACTGAGCTATTTCCTGGAAAAAACGACAGATTCAGTTGGCGCAGGAATCGTGACAACTCAAACAAAATTTTTCAGCCAAATCTTTAAGTTTGGCATCGCACAGCGCGTCACATAAAACGCAATAAGTTGCATTGGAACCCTCGGCCATTTTCCATGCAAGCAACATTTTGTAGGCCTTTTCATGACATTGTTTTTTCTCTACGTCGATAGCCTCGAGCGTTGCCTCGTCATAGTTCAACAGCCGACGCCCAAGGTTCTTCCATTCCACTCGAATTTCTCCGGCCAGGTCGTCCAAAACTTTCTTATCAGGTACGCCATCTTTCACTGCAACTTATGGAAACGAATACCAACATGATCAGGTATTCTTGTGGTTATAGCCAAATCAAAACCACGAGGGTAAGTGTGTTTCAATTTGAACAGCCACCCTTTCGAAAGAGTTTTGCGATCAACCCTACAGTTCTCGATTTTGGACTTAAAAAAAGAAAAATAAAAAGCTGC